AATGCTAATAGCGTCAGAGTCATGACCGATGCTCGAAAGTTACATCTAAAACATGATTTTCTTATAGTGAGAGTTGATACTAATTGTTGTGTATAATTTCTTCCCATGTCAATTAGAATTAAACATCCTAACATTTAACTCTCTATTACAAGTGTGATTGTCATTAAGTGTTCCCAATTTTCATGTATTTGCATTAGGCAATTTGGAACATAAGGTCACTCATCCACACCCTTCCTTGCAGCCAACTCCAACCCTAATCTTGTCATTCTTTAGATACCCTAAATCCATTCCATTATGAACAACATAACTTGCAATAGCTTCCTTGAACTCCTCATTTGTTGAGAACAAGCTTCCCAATACCCACTCATAGTCATTAAACCTCGTAGCATGACAAATGATGGGTATTTAACATTCACATCCTCATTTAAATCTCTGTATGATAAAAATAAAACAATCGTCCCATTTGACATCGATTCTCCCCTATTAGTCTGCTTTTCGTGCCTATTATGTAGGCTATTATCATTACCCTCTACCTCAAATTCCAAACTAACTTCTTCCCCATTACATTCCTCAGAAAATTCATCAACATTTGATTAATCCAATTCCTTTTCTAATAGTTTGGATAAGTTAACTCTTAGAGGTCCAACGAATCCTCAACCTCTTTAATCCTAAAAGCATCTCCATTTATCTTGCCATTGAAATATTCATTCAAAACCATGGAGAGTTTCATTCTGACTAGGATTCACGCTACAACCATGCAAAATTTGTTTCCCTTATTATCATCTAAACACATGTAAACTCCCACCACTGAAGAAATCAATTAGAAGAAATCCAGATTCCAAGCATGGTAACCACGTAACCATTTCGTTTATCACATCTGAAGCATGTCTCAACCAATCCGCTACCTCGGCCACAAGAACTTCCAGTTGCCCTACTTCCTGATCCTCAAGCAAACAAATATTCTCTCCCAATGGTGTTACTTTGATCACAAAATAACCCTTTGCATTGAATATTTCTTGCATATTTGATGTCATACAGGGATTCTCTACAAACCTAATAAGCATTTTCCTATATCTACCCATTTCGGAGTTTTGAACATTAAACTCCAATTGGGCGAAGACTGGCTTCGTCTCCTTTTTGAAATTTTTTTCTTGGTTGAGCTTTGAAGTCTTGGACTACTCCATCATATGTTCTACCATCTCACTTTCCCCCTGTTTGAAGTCCACGTGTTTTTTTTTCTGCCAATAGACCTCCTTCCTTACTTGCTTTTGACTTTCTAATCTACTACTTACCTTTCCGCCGCCTATCCTTTGCTCCAAATTTATTATCCATATTCATAAATGTTTCCTTCATCTTCCTTCTTTGAAATCTAAGAACACTTACAACAACAACAAAATTGGATTCCTATGAATATGTTATCCAATTTTCTTGCTAAAAAAATCTTGATATTCCACGTTGAAGAAATTGACGAAGTCGTATCTCTTTCCTCTTCTATCCTTCTTAGCTGGAATAATCACTTCACCTATGTCTTCAAATGCCCTTAACAACTCTTACACACAACTACAAATAATACATTTCATGACAAAGATTTCACCTCACGTATTGAAAAGCCGAGGTATAATTCCTGGACGCACCTGTTTTTTTTTAATATATATACAATATATTGTATCGGTTATTTTGAAAACCGACGGGTAAACATATTCAGTGTACATGCTTCAAATCATATAAGTCCCAATTTATGTTTTTATCTCATTAAAAGTGACACCTTCTTGAATATTTTGCTTTTAATATAAAAATACGCCACTTTTCACCTCATTTTATTTTCAACGGAGGTGAATATGTTTCTTTGATATATATATATATAGCTTGTAGCATTCAGTTTCACTTGTCTAAACAACACAACCAGAATCCTAACGAAGAGCCATAAATAACAAGAGTCATAAACACATACCATCTTTCATACGAAGATGTTATGTGTTTAGTGCCCTCGTTTCTTTTTTAGAGCTCCAAATCATTTCTTTTACTTCTTCTTTAGAGATCTAATACGTCAAACATCACTGCTAATATTGTTGTCATATTTTTGTTGTTGGTGGTGATGGCGGTGGTGGTGGTGATGATGATGATGATGTTGTTGTTGTTGTTGTTGTTGTTGTTGTTGAGATCCGAAACCCTAGAGGTTTTGTTGTTGTTATTGATGTTGTTTTTGTCGGTGTTGTTATTCTTGTTGTTTAGACCCTAAATCCTAGATGTTATTTATTGATATTGTTGATAGTTTATTGACGTTGTTGTTCTTGATATTATTGTTGATGTTGTTGTTGTTTTCTTGTTGTTTTTGTTGTTGATATTGATATTGAGATTATGTTTTTTGTGATTCTTTGTGCAACTCTCATCTTGTTCTGTCGAGTTGAATTTATTATATCTAATGTCGATTGTTTGTTTCACTAACACCTCTTTGAACATATAACCTAGTAAATTGATTTTGAAAATAATCATATGCAAAATTATGTTGTATCTGAAACGTATCTTACATTGATTATAGATTTTCTAACATCCTGCAACTCATCATTTCTCTCACGTTGTTTCATTGTTAAAATCTCTTCAATACTTCTAGTTTTTGTTCAACTTTCTTTCATATTTGTTCTTTTTTTCAAAACATCAAATTTTATGCTTTAAGAATGAATAAGTAGAAAAGTAAGTGTTGAATAGGGCTGGCAATGAACCAAACCAACTCGAAGATAGTTCGGAATTCGACTCGACAATTAAATCGTTGAACTAGGTTCATGAACCAAATGAGTTGAGTATGAGCGAAAAATTAAGTTCGTTAACTAAATGAGTTGAACTTGAACTATACATAGTTCGACTCGTTAGGTTCATGAGTCAACTCGATTACATATGAAAAGAATTATACTGTCTTTAAGATTAGGTTTAAATATTTAATTCAAATCTTAGACAAATTTAATCTTCAATTTAGTAGTTTTTGAATTAGACTCTCAAATGTATCTCTTGAAAGTTGTGTAGGTTTTGAATTAGTAGATTTCGAAGATAAAGTTAAATTTCAATATGATAACTTTTATTTTATTTTAATATTTTATTTAAAAAATATATATTTATTTAAAATGTCAAATATACTAAAATATATATATATTTAAAAAAATAGTTTTTAAGTTCGTGAACCATGTGAGCTGAACCTAATGAGATGAACCTAACGAGTCGAACCGAACTGTTCGTGAACTTATAACGAGTCGAGTTTGAGCTTAAAAAAAAGTTCGTGTCGAACTCGAACTCGAACTCGAATTCGAACAATTCTTAACGAGTCGAGCCGAGCTGAGGTGAGTTCGACTCGACTCGACTCATTTCCAGCCCTAGTGTTGAATAAACAACTTGAAACATTAAAGATATTTTACCCATAAAACAACGTGAGATGAATGATGAGTTGTAGGATGCTTCAAAATCACTAATCAATGTAAGTTGTTTTTCAAATATAACATAATTGTTCATATAATTATTTTCCGAACCAATTTTGAAAAATTATATGTTTAGTATAAGGTTTGGCGAAATAAACCATTCACATTAGATTTAGTTATTTCAAAATTGTTTTACCCAGGTTTTATTGAATAACCGAAATAAAAATGTGGTATTTCCGTCGGTGAAATGAGAAAACCGAAAAAACATGTGTTTTTACCATTTTAAAATTTTAAATAGGTCTCCTTAGAGATCGAACCTATAACCTTTAGCTATATCTATCAGCTTTTTTAAAATCAAAAGATAAATGATGCATTTTTTATGACTTGATACTTCACCTGTGAAACTGAGATAAAACCCTTCTTCAATTAAACTAAGAGGAATTATTTGTTGTAGTGACATCTTCTTTATCCTTGAGGAGTTGTCTGTAATTGATATAAAAAAGTTGTCAGAACTTCTTATTTCTTCCTTCATGCGTTCACCACTTCACACATTGTCACAACGTTTACTCTTGCGCTTAGATACTCTCTTCCATTCTTCCATAATTAGCACTAAAATGCTGATTTTTTATTGTTGTCTGATAGTTGAACTAAAAAGTTAGAGAGAAGTTGGACTCTCCCCCTGACTCTAACTGCTCTGATGTCACTCAGAGTTGCAAACTATCACTCACCATCATAAACTGCTATTATTATTGAACAATCAGGACAACCATTATTGCCTTTTTGGCCATCATCACTCTCATTGACTGTAGTAATAAAATATACCGCTGTGTAAAAGACCCTCTAAAAAAGCAGCCAATTTTAGCTGAATATCTTTTCTTCAATCTTATTTTTGATAACATAGTTTTTTTTTTAAACTATGTTCTTTTTAAATTCTACCAATTAATGTTTGGTACACAAAACACTACATTTAAAAAAAAAAGTAGGCATACTCACAAATTTTCTTTTCAATTATTTGAGCAGTGTTGCAAAGCATTCATTATTGTTTACAAAGTATAGGACTATACAATAAAAATAAAATATGGAAATTTACATGCACTGTAAAGACATAAAAATAAAATGTCACTGTTTTCGATAACTAAACAAGGTAACTAGTCCAGAAATATGAGGACAATAGAAGATGGAAAACTAACAAACCCAAGTGGCATGCATGTGATTTCATAACTTAGTTTATTGGGGAGACAGACAACCATTTCAGCAGGTACCTGAAATCCCGTTTGCATATGAAAAATTATTACTATAGTCGGTTAAATATCAACGGTTCTACATTTCTCCACGTGTCAACATGCAACTGGTTGATAACATGATGTGAAATTGGCATGCAGCCACAAACACAAGTATTATTGAGGGAGCTATAACTCTTTCTCTCTCTTCTTCTCTACTTCTATATAGCCAAACCAAGCTACATTGTAATACAAGAGAACATACACACACATACACATACACATACACTCCCTTAAGGAGAAGCTAACAAAGATTTTCAGTTTCAGAGAGAAGGGAAAGGAAAAAGAGTGTTTGGATTTCATTGAGAAGCCAAAAATGGATACTTTGAACATGAAGGAGACTGAGCTTTGTCTTGGTTTGCCTGGTGGCGGTGGCGGTGAGGTTGAAACTCCTAGAGCTGCTGGCAAGAGAGGTTTCTCTGAGACAGTTGATTTGATGCTGAATATTCAGACCAAGGAAGATCTGAATGAGAATCTGAAGAATGTTTCAAAGGAGAAGAGCTTGCTTAAGGACCCTGCTAAGCCACCAGCTAAGTAAGTTTTCTCTTTCTCTAATCTCTGTTAACTTTTTTTGGATCTATAGCATAACAAGTTTTCTTAAACAAAGGCTTATTGTTATCACATATTCTCTTTTTTTTTCTTTTGCATCTTTTGCTAATTAACCATATATCATTAGAGGTTATGTTAGTGTATATATTCTCTCTGGTTACTATTATAAATAAAGATTTTTTAGATATACCCAACAATACATCAGATATTCAATGAATTTAGAAAATAAGTCTTTAGTTATAATTGTTAGAGGAGAGAGTAGCGTGCATGAGGTTTATAAGTGACTTTCTAAATTTTATGCAAATTTTCAAGGCTTATAGAGAGAAAAGAATAATCGAGATTTATGGGGATTGAGAATGAACATGTTTATATTTCAGGACTCAAGTAGTTGGTTGGCCACCAGTGAGATCATACAGGAAAAACATGATGGCACAGAAGGTTAACAATTCTGAGGAGAATGAGAAGACAACGAGTAGCACTACTGCTGGTGCATTTGTTAAGGTTTCCATGGATGGAGCACCTTACCTTCGTAAGGTCGACTTAACAATGTACAAAACCTACAAAGATTTATCTGATGCCTTAGCCAAAATGTTCAGCTCCTTCACCACTGGTTAGTATCTTCTACGCACAACTGTATAGATTATAAAACACTCTCTCAAGAGTTTTAACACTGATGCAAATCTAGATTCCACAATTATTTGATGATAAACTATTAGTACTATTATTATAAGGTTTTAGATCTTGATGATGCATGTGCAAGTATAGGTTTAATTATTATTATCATCTTGGGATTGTTACATTCTAGATACATACATGATTAATGTGAGTGATTGAATATGCATTGTTAATATTTTATCAGGTAACTATGGGGCCCAAGGAATGATAGACTTCATGAATGAAAGCAAGTTGATGGATCTTCTTAACAGCTCTGAGTATGTGCCAACCTATGAAGATAAGGATGGCGACTGGATGCTCGTGGGAGATGTCCCATGGGAGTAAGTTCTTCCTACCTCATCATGCACCTCCATGATCTCCAGCTACTATATACTACAATCATTTATTCTTATATTTATAAACTCTATACACAGACACCTCTGAAAAAAGCGTGTTTGTATCAGTTATGGTGTGAATCATGCAAACATGCCAGAATCAGTGTCGTGTTTATGGTGTTCGTGCATAGTATATATTAAATTAACCTTGATTATTTATTTTTTGAAGGATGTTTGTTGAATCATGCAAGCGTCTTCGCATAATGAAAGGATCAGAAGCTATTGGGCTCGGTATGTATATATATCATTTTATCTTATAACTATTAATTACATCACTTTGTTCTTTTCTGGTTATTGGTTCTAACGTTGGAATTTTTTTCTCTGTATTTTTTCAGCACCAAGAGCAATGGAGAAATGCAAAAACAGAAGCTAAATACATATCTTATATCAAAGTCCTGCACCAAAGTGGACCTATAAGAAAAGATATATATGAAGCTAGCAGTGCCTGTGGATTATTGGAGTGTTGTTAGTTTGGATGTGTCTTCAGTGTTTTTTGTTTTGTTCGTATATAGATTCAACTTTAATTTTCAAGTATTTGTAATCGACATGAAGCAATAAACTTAACCAAACCACCTATATACTATATAGTTTGCCTTGTTTAATTATTATTATTACTATTATGTGATTGCTTCCATGATGTCATGTTTGTTGTGTGTGCTATATATTATATACTTTGAATTTTAATGTATAGATTCTTCTTCTTATATGTCATTTATTTAGTAATGCTTTAATTGATTTGTGTAATGAAAAATGATCAATATGTATATGTCTCAGCTGGAAGAAGAGATTTGTTAAATATTTGTAAGTGTGGGAAGGGAACAAAGCCATGTGCATGTTGATGGAGTTTTGTTTATGGCCATTATAGTAGTCTTTGTCATTTAGTTTTGTAATATCAAATTCGCATTAATTACTGGCTGAGTGTAGGGTTGGTGAGTGAACACACAGTTGGAATATCAATTTATATATATATATATATATATATATATATATATATATATATATATATATATATATATATATATATATATATATATATATATATATATATATATATATATATATATATATATATGTACATTGATCAATGACATTATTAATATTTAATGTTATTAAGGGTCAATGATGCATATGCATATGAATAAAAGTATAAAAGAATTCTAGGATCGGACAATATGACAGCTTCATGTCCTAGCTTTAGATGAAAATATCCATTATTTTAAGGGATTTGATGTCTATAAAAAATGCATTGAACTTTAATATCCACTCATTCATGGGATTTGAAAGGAACATGATCCATCATACCTCCCATCTCCCTCTACATTTATATATATGCCCTTCATATAAGGTCTAAAAATTATTCATAATAGGACCCATTTATAATCTAACATTTTAAACAAAAACAAGAATCAAGATCGAGTTTGATAGAGTATCAATGTGTGAGTAATTAAGAAGTTTTACCTAATAGATAAAAGTATATGTTTTTTATTTTCACATTTAAAGAGAAGTGAAAGAGTTAGTTAGCTATTATAACTAACTCCAACTGTATTTGGTTTGACAGTTAGAAAATAGTTGGAAGTTTTTCAACTTGTTTATAAGCAAGTGTGTAAATTTGTAATAGTTAGTTTTGTGAGTAATGAATGAAGCGTATCTCTTCTTCTTCCTTGTTTCATTGTCATGCATCTTGTTTAGCTCAAGCTTTAATATGGTATCATAGACCTTTCGATCTAGGCTTCTTCCCATGCTCCCTTACTCACAATCCCCCATTCTTATTCTTTTGTGATCACCTGGATCTTCTTCAGTTTCTTTTTCTCGCCATTAGTATAGTTTTTTTCTTTCAACGTGTTTGTTGCAAGTTCTCCAAGCAGCATTAATAGCGGATCATCATCAAATAACCACAACAAGAGTTATCAAACAAATATCCTTAACCTTTACTTCATGCATCCGAACAAAAATCTTGTGTTAACTCTTGTGTCTCCCTTACTTTCGAGTAACAATTATCATTCTTGGTCACGACCCATGACCATGGCACTTCGATCCAAGGCCAAGATACTTCATCAATGGCTCTTTACCGCGTCCATCTGATGAAGATCACAATTCCATTGCATGAGATCGTTGCAATACTATGCTCATGTCATGGATCAACAATTCATTAGAAACTGAGTTTGCTCAAAGCCTTATGTGGATGGATAGCGCAGTTGAGATGTGGCGTGAACTGAAAGATTGTTTTTACCAAGGTGATGTTTTTAGAATTTCTGATATTCAGGTAAAAATATGAACCTCCAAGCAAAATGATTCTTCCATTTCTTCATATTATACTAAACTCAAGAAACTTTGGCAAGAATTGGACAATTTTCTTCCAATCCCTACTTGAGATTGTGCAGTCACATGTCAAGCTTTAACCAAGATTCGTACATACCAAGATGGAGACCAAGTTATCAAGTTTCCAAAGGGCTTGAATTATCAATATTCAGCTGTGAGATCGCAGATCATGCTGATGGATCATCTTCCAAACACTTACAAAGTGTACTTGTTACTTGTTCAACAAAAAAGACAAGCCATCACACCAATTGGTGAATCCAAAGCTCTTGCTTTTTCCAATCAGAATCAAACCGTCCAATAGTGTTTTAGTTACCACCTGTTATGCAAGCACTATCATATTTGATCATAATTTCTTTATCACATATGTATTATATATGCCAAGTTTTGCTTTCAATCTTATATCTGTTTCAAAACTGACAAAAACCCTTAATAACCAATTGTTTTTTAATGATGTTGACTGCATGATACAGGATATCTGCTCCAAGAGGGTGATTGACACGGCTAAACTGAATGGTGGATTGTATCTTCTCACATTTCCTTTTGCATCATTGAATCGTACACCGCCATAGTCCTTCACCAATGCCATCTAACCTTCCCCCAAATACCTTAGATATCTCCCATTATTGTAATATTTTGCACTTAAGATTTGGCCATACCTCTAATTCCAAATTACTTGAAATAAATAAAAGTTTTTGTCAAGCTTGTCAATCATTCTATTCCTTATGATATTCTTTTTATGCTAAGCAAAAAAGGTTTCCATTTTATAATAGCAATCATGTTTCCCTTCACAAATTTGATTTGATCCACATGGACATTTGGGGTCCTCTATCTACACTATCCATGATGGACTTTAGATATTTTTTAACTGCTGTATATGACAAAAGTAGATTTACTTGGATATTCCTTATGAGGACAAAATTTGAAACATCATCTCTTTTTGAGTCTTTTGTGTCTATGGCCCATACTCAATTTAACACAAGAGTCAAATGCATTAGGTCATACAATGGAAATGAATTTATGCTCAAAACGTTCTTCCAAAAGTCAGGCATCATTCACAAAACTTCATGTGTTGGTACTCCTCAACAAAATGGCATTGTTGAGAGGAAGCACCAACACATCCTTGGCATTACTCGAGCCATTCTTTATCAAGCACGCATTCCTCCCATTTTTGGGCTCATATTGTCAATCTTGCAGTACACGTCATTAACAGATTACAAACAGTTTTCTTGAAAGATAAGTCACCATAGCAGGTGTTACATAACCAATTCCATGGCATATCCATCTTAAGAGTGCTTGGATCCATATGTCATGCTCTCACACTCAAGTCTAACAGAAAAAAGCATGATTCCAGGTATAGAAAATGTATTCATTTAGCCTATAAAACATGTGTGAAAGGACACATTTTATTTGACTTGCAATGCAACAAAGTTTTTATCTCAAGAGATATTATTTTCTTTGAACACATATTTCCTTACAACCAAGAGTCATCTCAAACTCTAAATCTCAATTCTCAACCTACCTCATCAAACCATCCTTATATAATTTCTTTGACAACATTCCTCACTTCTCATCTTACCCTAGACATACACGATCACTCCTAATATACAACCTACCAATCATGATGATGATCTCAAGTCTTCTGATATCATTCCTCCTGAACCTCAACCTACCATGTCTGAACGCCCACATGTCAACCAAGGACCAACTGAACCATAAAATCCTCCCTTAATAAAATCTATCATAAATTCTAAACCTTTAAATCATCTTCAAGATTACCATTGTAATCTTATGAAAAATACAATCCACAATTCAGCAGCAACCGTTACCAATCAATCCTCATCTTATAAGTATCATATATCCTCTTATTTATCATATGATCCATTTTCCTCTACACATAAATTTTTTACTCTAATTATGTCTACCATATCTGAACCTCAAACTCATGAGAAAGTTATTTGTGATGATAATTGGAAGACTGCTATCAATGCTAAGTTAACTGCTTTGATGAAGACAAAAACTTGGGATCTTGTTCACTTACCTCCCCACAAGAAAGTCATTGGATGCAAGTGGGTTTTTAAATTGAAGTTGCACGCTAATGGTAGTGTTAAGAGATATAAGGCACAACTAGTTCCAAAAGGGCTCACGCAAATTGAAGGCCTTGACTATATGGATGCCTTCAGTCTTGTGCTAAGAATGACAACCATAAGAGTGCTCTTAGCCATAGCTATTGTTCACAAGTGGCCTCTATTCCAACTTGATGTCAACACAACCTTCTTGCATGGAGACTTCAATGAGGAGGTTTATATGTAACACCCACTTACCTAGCTTAACATTTCTTCATTTGGATCTTGTGTGTAAATTACAGAAGTCCCTTTATGGTTTGAATCAGGAAAGCAGACAAATGGAATAACAAACTCACTGACTCACTTACATCTTTGTCTATGTTGATGACTTGGTATTAGGTGGCACTGGTCTTGCTGAAATCTCAGACATCAAAAGTCTATTAGATAACAAGCTTAGCACCAAAGACATAGGAGTATTGAAATACGTCTTAGGATTCGAGGTTGCTCGAATTCACGCAGGAATTTCACTTTGCCAAAGGAAGTATGTCCTAGATTTAATTCATGATGCAGGATTACTTGCAGCTAAACCTTGTAATACACCAACGCAACCACACTTACAATTACACAAAACATATGGACAACCATTGTCAGAACCCACTGCCTATAGGAAACTGATTGGGAGATTGTTATATCTCACTCATTCAAGGCCTGGAATTGCTTATGCGGTAAGCAAGTTGAGTCAATTCCTTGATGCCCCTACTGACAAGCATATGTTGGTAGGTCTGCATGTGCTTAGATTCCTAAAAAAGCCACCCAGACCAAGAACTATTTTTCAGCTCATCATCCACCCTATACCTCAAATGTTTTTCAGACTCTAATTAGAGAGCTTGTCCTGATACGCGAAGATCCACATCAGGCATCTTCTTCTTCCTAGGCCGGTTTCTGGTCAACTAGAAGAGCAAGAAGCAAAATGTTGTGTCTTAGTCCTCCT